CTTCATTATTAAATAAGGAGCAGCTAGAGAAAAAAAAAAAGTCACTACATGATGGGCTCCACATGATATTGAGTTTGTATGCAAGTTGGAAGCTGTTCTATTTTTTTCTCACCACTGTCTCTGAGGATTAGCCTGGATTTTGAAAAATCAAGTCATGTTGCTCCTGCTTTCACCTCACTTCGTTCCTGAAGGCTGAGAGGAGCCATGGAGAAGCATGCTTTTCCAAGGCTATGGCCAGCTCCTGGACCAGCAACTCAATACCAGCAGCAGGGTTCTGCTTTTTGGAAAAGGAGTCTCATGCAGTCTATTGGCAGCTCAGGGTGCAAAAGAAGCCTTTTTATAACAGAATTTTCTTTTTATGTTTACAAACATTGTGACAGCAAGATTCAAAGTGCAAGCTAAAACATTACGAGGGGATAATTATTATCCAGAGACAGCAATTAAGATGACACCAATAATGAGATAAGGATTTGTCATGTTTCTTCTGTCCTGTTGTTGTAGCTGTGTTTTTATCTTCGTGAAGTGGTGAGCAAAAAATCATTCTCAGTGCAGCTGAGCTCTTCCTTGTGTGAAGCTTTTCACAAGAACACAATGGAAAAGAAGGGAAGAGGGTGATATTCTGTAGCTATGGTGGATGTAATGAGCCTGCATATCATAGAGACTTGAAGAGGTCACCACTTATCCGACTGTCATTGAGACACCAATGCACTGCTCCTGAATTTCTTTTGTAGAGAGCTGTACTGCTGGCAGTGTCAGTGACCACATTTAATTAGGGACAGGGCAGCTGCCTCTGTGTGCCTCTGTGTTGTGTTCAGCAGCTGAGTGAATTTCACAGACATTGGAAGGAAATAGACCTCATTAAGTGGACTATACCTTATATATATATATATATATATATCCTTCTTTCACTTTGGCATCATTACCATCAACCATGGGTTGTCATCACACGAGCACAAACTCTCCTGCAATGTCTGCACTGAGAGATGAATGATGACTGACAACACCAAACAGGCATGGCAGCAATTTATGAAGCTCTGCTCTTTTTTGACACTTGTGGTGAAGATGGTCATTGGGAAATCTCATCTCTAGCTACACCGAAATTGCACATCAGTGTTACTACTGACTTCAAATCCAGCAGACTACTGAACTGTCGTCTGACAATGAAGAGATGGCATCACCACTGGATATTATGTATTGCAGCATCCTTGGACCCTTTATGTCTTGAGTTGCTCTGATATTTTTGAAGAGAGAAACCTTCTAGGTAGCTGAAACGTGTATGATAATGTTTTTTCTTTGTTACTTTCTACAAGCCCCACGTCTGTAAGCCATAGGCTGATAGCCACTGCATGCTTGGCACTGCAGTTGTCACACAGTGTGAGCTGCACTGTATTAGGAGTGAGCCAGGAGAAATATCAAATTTTGCTGGATGCAGTTCAGCTAGTGGGCTGAATTGCACAGTTAGCATCACCTCATGGTACATTCATGGACCATTACTCAGCAGCCCCATATACAATATTTCTCTTGTGGTTTCAATTCCCTCTTATTCTCTCATATATCCTTTTCTGAATTTTATTCTTTCTACCATGCCTGTCACCCCAGTCCTGTAGACCACCACCCTCTGGAACACCCTTGAGCCCCTCACTTTCTACTTGAGGTCCCCATGTACAGGCTGGGGTGATGGTGTCTTTCAGCAAGTAAATAACTTTTGCTTATTTACTACTTACTTATTATTATTTACTATTTACTTATTTATTGTCTGTAGATATTCGCATTTGGCAGCACAGTGGTTGGTACCACAGCCTGTATTGGTTGGAAATAAGACACAAATGTGGAACTTCTCTTTGTTCAATGTATTTCTATTAGAGGTGACTCATTTCCTTCTTAAGTGTACATTGCTATTGCCCTTCAATGTAATTCAGGATTTTTTTTAAGATGTTACTTATTGACAATTTTAGTCTCTTGGGTTTTTTTTAATTCATAAAACTCTGTCTGTAGAGCTCTGTTACAGCCTGTTTAGACAAAGAAAATATTATTTCTGTTCCTGCACATGAAGAGAGAAAGGGCATAAAAAACTTGAAGTATTTTAATAAATTGAAGAATATGACTGAAAATGGAATTTAGACCAGTCCCTAGTACAATTTTCCATAAACATGAACAAGCTGCTTGGTGATTTGCTTTCAGTCTTTTGTCTGTAATTTTTCCATTAAAGTGGTTGAAATGATTAATGAAATTTTGTTTGCTGCAAGAAAAATGCAAAGTCAGGTATTTAAAAATTAATATATGCATGAATGACGCTGCTTTACACCTTTTCTGCCTTGCCATTATATTTCTAAAGTACAACTTGAACATGTAACAATTTGCTAATTTTGTTCTCCCTTCCTTCTACAAGTTGTATGAAATGTGTGAGCTCACTAAGGGCTCTTCAAGAGTCTCTCCTGTGATGTTTAGAGTAAATCAAATAATAATTGTTACCACCCTCAATTATCCACATAAAATGGTTTCTTCTCTTGCCTTCAGCAGTGCAAAGATTTTTTTTGGCTATCTTTGAGGGCATGTCTCTTGACAGGACAAGAATGTTACCCCGCTGTCATGAAAGCAATTTACCTGAGAGGTGACTTGAGTGACCCAAAGTGCTCAGATCCAGTTTTAGTAGCGCAGATTTCTTTCCTCTGCACTGCCTGCGTGAGTGGCATCACAGGGCCGGTGCCTGCTGCAGACTGCCATTGGGCTTTGGTGTTTTGGGACACCAAAATGTCCCCATGTTGCACACAGTGAAAAGACAGCCACCCACACATAGGGCTCGTTGAACTTCTGCAAGAAAATCTGCCATCAAATGCAGGAGGGGAGTATTTGCTCTTTATATACCCAGCCAGAAATTCTCTTCCACAAATGCCATTCTTCTACCTGGCTTCCCTCTAAAAACATAGGTCTGCAATATTACCATGTTGTAACTAGCAAAGTCTCAAGCCCCAGTGATTCTCATTTCAGGTGCGAAAAAATGTGACAAAAAATGGAGACCCTCATTTTGTGTTGTATTTGCTTTGCAATTAAAGTCTGTACAAATGCTGTGATTTTCTCCCTGTTGAACTCTAACACAGAAGATCCAGCTTAATCAGCAATTGAGCAGCCTGGTGTCACCATGTGAAGTCCAGCCAATTCTTCCTTTCCTTTTCATGACCCATGAATGAATGTTTTCTGGTGTAAATACCTGGTGTCCCCTGCACAGGCAGTCGTGAACTGCTCTGCCAGCAAGTGATCCAACTGGACTGGGTAATTGCTGAACACCCACTGGGGGCTTTTCCCTCAGGGCAGGCACTGACCTGGATCTTAGTCCTTTGAGCAGCCCCCAGATCTCATGTGGCAGGGAGAAAGAGCCTCTTTGGGACCCTCATCTGTTCCAACCTGTCTGAGCTGGAAAGGTTGCTGGCTGGAGGAGAGGAAAGGAGTTTGACAAGCAGAGTGCAACCACACCAGTGTCATTTCCTTTGGAAAGCACACTCATCAAAGAGTGTACAGGCCTTCTTTTTCTAGAAAGATTTCTTTCTGCAGCTCCTAGAAGCCTAAAGAAAAACTTCATCCCTCTTGGATTCTCTTATTTTACCATAGGGGCACTGCTGTGACTTATATTCATCCTATTGTCAGAAGTCATGGGTTGAACTGGGAGCTCAGGATACCAGTGTGGAATTGTGCTGTGCCAGGAGAGCAGCTGTGAAGGTGTCTCTGTGGAGCAAGAGGTGTGGGGCTGTAACCAGGGGCCAGCCAGCCATCTTGCTCATGGAGATGTGAGAAATGCTGCTGCTCCAAGAGAAAACAGAAGGTGGTTGCCAAAAATGCCAGAGCAAGGCACACTGCTTGCAAAAGCCCCTGCCAGAGGAGCCAGGGAGAAGGGACCACACTGTGTTTTTAATTCAGAATTATTTTTATCCATACATGTGCAAGAAAAAGACAGAAACTTGCTGTTATTTTTAACCCAGATTGACTTTAAGCTGTACAGAATGGGTACAGCACAGGCAGCACCAACCCACAGGCCAGATAACACATGGGTAATTGAGGCTATGGGACTGAATTAGAGATGCAGAGACGGTGCCACTGCAGACGGGGTGAGCAGTGACCCTTGGTGGGCTCAGAGCCAAAGCTGCCTAAGGAGCTGCACAGATTTCACATCCAACAGGGCTGTCCATCCAGCTCTGCCAAACAACAGCCTTTGGAACAGTCAGTCCAGGTGGACTCTGCAGAGCTTCTCTCATTTCTTGCTTGCCCAGTAGACCCATTCTGTTTCTGTGCCAACCACAGACAAAAAGTGGAGTTTCAGCACAAGCTCTTTGGTGAAATGAAGCCAATCACCCCAAGTTCGTGGCATACAGTACACTCTCCCTGCCAAAGTGGAATGCAGCTTTGGAAGGGCAGAACCTTATCATAAAACAAGCTATTGTTTTCTGTGTTTTGAGTACAAGCAGATTAGTGATGAATCAGCTTTTTATGAATTCCCCTTTTCATCCCTTCTCTGTCTCTCACCTGTGTCTGGCTTTCAAGACAGATGGTGTAACTTCCTTTGCAACTTCAGTTCCCATTGCTCACTTTTTGTCTTGCCACTGGGGAGCACTCCCAGGTAGGTCAGCTCATAAATAAATTTTTTCTTACAATTGCCCAGTGACATGTGCAGCCTGTAAACAATCCTGCAATGTTGAATAAGGACCTAATTCAATCTGGTGACCCTTAAGCATGAACAGAACACACTGAATAAAGACAGCTGGGTTTTAGGTTCTGGTACTTTTGAAAAACATGCTTTATATTAAAATAAATACATTGAATGTGAACTCAGATATGATCCAAAACAAAACCAATGCAAAGTACAAGTATGTATTGCCAGACACACAAAACTATCAGTCAGCTGCATAAATGGGTAAGTAAATCAATATGCAATTATCATTTCAGGTTTAAAATGTATAATGTAATGAAACTAGATGCATTACAGAAGGTTCTACTTCAGTCTTACTCTGTTCCAAACTCATTGTTCTGAAATAGTTCAAAGTTTCTTTATCTGAAAGTAAAGCCTAGTGTAATTAACAATATGTTTCTGCAAATGGCATATGCAGCTCCTCAGGACTTGCATCATTAGGATTGTGTTAAAAAAATCTGGATACTGCAGAGTAAGGACTTTTTTTTTACAGAATGGAGCCCTACTAAAATACAAACATTTCTTCCCCCCCGAAGGTCATGGGAACAGTTTCCCATAGAGCTTTGCCCAGGAGTTTCTAGTTAAATGGCAGCAATTTTATTAAAATGTCTGTTTTCTGTCAAGGAAACTTAGCACATCTTTAACTGTCAGAAAAGGCTATACAAACATGTGCTATAGCAAAACACAGAATCCATATACATCTGCTAATAACATGCTCTGACTCCACTGATAAAAACAAGTTTATCAAGCCCTGGAGTTACCACTGTCACCATTAAGGAGCTGTGCACTTGACCAGAGCTGAAGACCAGGAAGAAATACTGCAGGAATAATGTTATCTCTACCTTCACCTCAGGGTTAAACTGCGGTAAATGACATTGTGTTTGTTATTAATGTCTTATTTTGAATAGTGCCTGTTATGGTAGGAAGATAGGGGGGTTTCTTTTCTTAATTGCAAAAACTGGTCAAGCAAAAAGCCTGGAGTGGGGTCCCTTCCCACATCAGTACAAAGTCATTTATTCATCCTGGCAAGCCACTCAACTACTCCTTCCTTCCCCCACTGAAACTTATATATTCCATCAACACATCTGAGTTCCTTCCTGAGCTCCCCACTGGGATTAGCTTCTCACATGCTTGCTCTCTTTTACTCTCTCTTCCAGTATATACAATTATTTGAATTTTCTAACAACACACACATGTTATTATATACTTAAAAGAAGGTAATATCAAAGAAACAGAGTTTATAGTGAGGGCAGAAGGTGATGAGGTATTTCCTGGGGAAGTTCACGCTACGGTCTTAGAGCTGTAAGATATTGTTTTTTGAGTTAAATCTTTGGTAACCTTAGTAGTTTATGTGAGTTCATGTAATCTGTGATGTTCTTTAACCAGTGCTTAGTATTCAGTATGAATTCTTTAGTTATTTGGCTTGGATTTGTATGGCATCACAGTGACAGGAGGGCAGAATACAGGCTGTAAATTTATGGTACACAAAAGATTTTCAAGTTCCCACTTGAAAAGACAGAGTTCTTCAGCACAGCACAGACAGCCTTTGATACACCTGCCCTGAGGCACTGCTGAACCCACCTTCAGCAGCTTTTGCTGTCAGGCCAAAGATTGCTTCCCTCTTAGTTTGTGCAAGAATTCAGTAATAACTGAGTACCAGTTAAAATGCTAACCCAGTATAAATATTTATTGCTGTTACTGGGTTGTAGAAACAGTTGTTAAATCCACAGCTATGGATAGCTGGAACTGGAAGAAGATGTTCTGTGACTGCTGAGAGGCCCAAGAGTGGCATGAGAGAAGGCAGGAGACATAGGAGAGATCCTGAACTTCAGCAGAGGGCTGGAGAGAAGGAAGTCACTTGGTTTGTACAAACTGTCAAGAGCCAGGACCTGACCAAGAGACATAGAATTAATGAACAGGCAGAGAAAGTGAGGCCAGGCTCAAAGCATGGAAAATACTGTGGAGAAAAGAGAGAGGCAGGAGCAGGTAGAAGCAAAATGGAGGCAATACTGAAGCAAAAAGCACTCAAGTGTTATATATCCTACAAATGGACAGTTTCCAGGTACTTCCTTTATTACAGGATGGAGCTGTTTGTGAGGAGAGGCATGCAGGGATGTACAGCCTGAGGTGGACTGAGAGCATTTTAGCACCACAGCAGGAAGAGCTTTGTAATCCTTCAAGAAATGTCATATAAAAGGGCCATATAATACTCCCCTTCTTATTATTGCAAACAATAAGAGAACTGCCCAGTACCTGTATGCTCCTACTTGGCACAGTATGAGGGACACATGAGGAAACCATGAAACAGAATAAGCACTAGAAGGAGCCAGATGGAGCTGCCTTGTTGGAGAGCAAAAAGAAGGAGCCCTAAGAATAACATAAGGAAAAAAGCAAAAGAAAGCAAAAGGAAACAAAAGGAAGCAGAAAGCCAGGAGGAGTTGGAGGTCACATGCAAACAGGGATGCAGAGAACTTGGAGAGAAAGCCAAGCAGAGCACTGGTAGCTGCCATGTAGCTTAAAGACTCATCACCAGTGTGTCTGGGACATTTCCATGAAACTTATTTCTACTGTGGGAAACCAAGGTATTTCTGGTCTGAATCATACTCATAACCAACACCTCCTATGGAATAGGAAACAGCTACAGACATGGAGGAAGGAAGCTGACATTAAGGAAAGATGTTGCAAGGAGAAGTTTCCCCATGAGTGAGCTGACATTCTGCTCTATGGCCACAAAGTTTGGATCCATTCCATTGTTTAACTATAGAATGTAAGCAGTCAATACTTGTTTTCAAACCGATACTTATTGGTTTGAAAAATACCTTTGAAAAGATGCTTTTAAAAGCATTTTTAGTAGAGAATTCCCTCTAATTCCAAAGTATAGAAACTACCAAGTATTTATTCCATTTCAGGAATTCTCCTTCCCCCTGGTTTCTCATCTCAAATTTGCATTGTTTTAGCAGAAGAAGAAGTTATTCCAGAATTAGCTGGAAGAAACATCTGAGATGATCCCTGATTGAGCCATAACCCAGTCCTGTTTCTACAGAAGTTCCTGCTGACTTTACATGTCATACTTTCCTTTTCTTATTTAAAATATTTTCTTTTTCTAGTAAGAAACATTCTTACATTTTATGCTGAAATTAAATTTTCCTGGAGATACTTTGCTAATGCTCTGCATGGAGAGTTTTGATTCTTCTAATTCTCTAGGAAGATTTTAATCTGCAGTTATTACTTTTGTTTCATTTGGCATCTACATATGGGAAAGAGCCAAGGGAGGAAGTGACAAATCCATCAACTTAAGACGGGAAACCCTGATTTCAGGGCTGTGTATATCTCGTTAGAAGTTCCTTTCCCCTTTGGCTATTTTGAATTAATATCCTTCCATGGGATAGTTTCTCCATTCACATCATTAAAATGTACCATCACAATATTTATTAGTCAAAAACTGACTGGAATAAGTCTAATCTTGCCTGTTATATACCTCACCATGTTTACACATCACCCAAGACAGCAGACCTTTATGGGACATGGGGGCATGACTATGGATCAAACATAACACAATAGTACAGACTTACAAAAAGAATGAATCATTAGTCTAATTGCTATCCTGCTTATAAACTATTTTGCCTGGAAGACACCAAGTCATTCACAAATACCACTTTGTCTGTGTACGTTTCTAATATGTTTCTGTAGGATCTTTCCTCCTTTGCCTGAGGCATAGGAGCCTCAGGCAAAGGAGGCCTGAAACAAGCAGCAGTCACTCACTCCAGCACCTCCCCCAGGAAAAAAACCTGTGTATTTCAGCATTAGAGAAAGGGAAGTTTTCAGTTTGCTTCCTTTAGTAGCAACTGTCAGTGTCTCAAGATCCTTATTACAGAAGAAAATCAATCAGCTTTCCAGAAAATCAGAAGATAATAACAGCATTAAGTTGTGCCTAGCAAAACAGAGACACTTTGCCCTGAATGGAGACTCAGAATAGCAATAAAAACATTGCAAAACAGTATAAATACCAGTGTGATTAAAAAGTCTTCCTCTAAAGCAAACAAGTCAGAGCACACAGGAGTGTCACATCTAATAGTTGCCCTGAGCTGCACGACTATCTGACATCTCTTATTAGGAGCTCTCACCATGGCCCAGAACAGCTTCCACCAAACAAAAGGCATTTTAGTCCTTAGTTGCTGGTCTCAACAGGGTTTGGTGCCTCACTATGTGTCCTCTGAGTCTTCCTGCTGCGTTGTAACACGGACAGGGGAACCAAAAGGCTGTGGGTGATCAGCAGCAAAGTCTGGAGCGAGGCTGTCAGAAAGAAAAGGAAGATTAGGATGAGAGCTGCCTTGAACCAGAGCCAGCAGTCCAACCATGGTTCTTACACAGTAAATAACCTGATGACAACTTTGTTCACCTTTCAGCACTTGCCCCTTTTAAACAATTCTGTAATATCTTGTGCCCTTACTATTAACAACGTATCATTGTGGGTGTTGACATTTAACCTGTTTGTCAACAGATCCATTTCCATCTCATTTCGCTGGCACCCCATGCAAGAGGCAGTAAGTGAAGAGCATTTTAGCACAAGTGATGAAAGATGTCATTGCTGGTGCCCTTTTGTGCTGCCTGCGCTCCTGTGAAGTATAGCAACCATTAGTAACAGGGATTTGAGTGTAATGTCTACTTTCACCCAGCAAGGTCAAAAATTTATGGTTCTGACCTTTTCTCTCTCCTCTGATGTTGGAGTGGGCTTGGGTCTTGTTCACAAGAAATTACATAAAATCAAGTGGAGTTGATGCAGGTTCAGTGTGAAGTGATGCAGAGAAAGGATTCCACCTTTCCCTGATAAAAATGGCTTCAATACCTTTAATAATGAGAGCCATGAAGTTCCACAAACTTTACAGAAAAGGTTGTAAGGATGTTGAGTGGTTTGAAGCTGCACACAGGACAAGGTAATTATTCCAAGGAGATCTACATTTATTCTTATTCTGTAGTTTTTCAGATGTGTTGCTCAAGGTCTCAAATATTTGTTTCAAGAAAAGCAAGTCTTGTTATGGCATAAAGATCTGTGTTAATTAAACCAGCCTAACTTCTAAGTGCTGTGCTCTTAGCAGGCTATAAACCACTTAGATTTTGTTTGGGTTGGTCACTTTGCACACGCAAGCTAGAGAGACACACAAGCCCTCCTGCTGCATTCCCCTGGTCTGAGCAAGCTGGCTCGGTCCCACTGCTGTCTATGCTGACAAGCCTTGCAGGTTCAATGTACTTCTAGAACTTTTCCCTCATTCTTATTTTTAAGGCCAACTAGAGTTGAACTATTCAGTTGAGTTGCCTTTCAGCACCAGAGTCCTGTGATGTGCACAGCTGCTGTGCAGTCCCCAGCACTCTCCTCTCACCCTGTCACCAGCAGCTCAGCATGCAAAGAGCAGGAGTGCTGCTCACACAGTGATGGAGGGCAACTGCCCAGCCACGGGGAGGAAAGGGTATTTTAGAGACTGTTGGCTCCTTTCTCACTAAGCATGACAGACAAGAGTCACAAAGTTCAGCCAAGATCAATCCTTCTAGTGCTTATGACTGGGGATTAGCTCAACCCATTGCAGACTCAGTGGCTCAGTAAGAAACCAATGTCCAAATAACAAGTTGCTCTGCGGTCTCGTTATCTGGAATGGACTTTTTTTTTTTTAATTTTTTCCCCCCCTCTTTGGTGAGGTTTTTTTTTGTTGTTTTTGTTTTGATTTTTTCTGCAAAGAAGGTCAGTGTCAGTCCAGCTGCCTCAGACACACACATCGCAGCTATGCAGAATATATTGTCTGTGAGGCTGTAGTACAGCTGGCATTTAATTTTGGTATAGCTTGGTTTACTTGTAATTTATTTTCTTGCTGTTCTCTACAACAGTGAGACTCCACTTTGACAAGGAAAGATTTAAAGAGCAGTTCTGGACACTCATGAAACACATTTATATGAGAGAGATGTAGATTTCCTGAAATTTTTTTGTGCCGGTGGTTTTTTGGCTTTCTATCTGGCTAAAGTACCACAAGCTGAAGCAAAAGTATCCTTCTTTGATGGTAATCTTTCCCAAATTTTCTGCTAAGGATGCATAACTTCATCAATTCACCAAGTTTAAAATCTGCATTTGGGACTTCTGCCAGAAAATATAATGTCTATATACGTTCAACCTATCCATTTTAATGTGCATGCAAGCTGTCCACACTGTCAGAGTCTCCAGCAAGCACTGTTGTTTAACAGTGTCTTTGGAAATACCAAGTCATATGTAAGCTATGAAATAGATTGTTATTGTTATATAAATATTTCTAACACTTTTGAGCGCTAAGCAATTAATACGAGCACATTTTGTCTCCTGTTAGCTAAATCCCTTGGTATCCCATATTCCCTCTGTGGTTCTTGTAGTCTGACACAAGATACAATTTGTACCAGCCTGCCCAGGGCATGGAAGCAAGAAATAAGTTAAATGTTGCATATCCTTTCTCGCTGCTTGTTACTTCTGCAGAGAACTTTTTCCCTGCTGTGCAATTTCATGTCCAAATTTCCTCCCCAATACCACAGGATGCTGCAAGTGCTAACTAAAAGAAAAGCAGGGACAAACACAAAGAGAGGAGATAAATAGGGGGTTAGCAAGGATAACAAGACAAATAGGAATAGCTGTTATAACAAGGATTCTAACCCCAGCAAGACCACTAGGAAAGAGTATTATACTCAGTAATGTTCCTTGTCAAATCTAATGGATTATACATACCTCAGCTTCTCCTTATATAGATACTTCAAGTTCACTCTGTAAAACCATGAGACAGATACACTAAACACCTACCACTGGCTGTCTGACCATCCTTGTTGCAGCTCGTGACCTGCCTTGCATTCCGCTGTGATCCTCTATGTCCATACTCAGCCTTTCCTCTCTGGCCAGGAATGCAGAGGCATGGAAAGCCTCCTAACTATGGGGCACATTCAGCTTTGCAGGTACATCCCCAGAGCTGGCTCTGCAGCATGTTGTTTGTGTTTCTAACAAAATACGGTGGCCAATATTTTTCAAGGCAGCCTGACTCCTCTGTGAAAACTGCATTTTTGGTGCCACTCAGTTTTCAATGTGTTGGATTTATATGGAACAAGTGGACTCCTAGAAACCATAAGAAACCAGAATCAAAAGAATTTTTCCTTTCCTAAATTACCACTAGATTGAGGTCCATGCTTCTCTTCCTCAGGGTCTCCCCAAGCCAGATGAGCCCCGTGGGCTTAGGGGACACAGACACCTGGAACACCATGTGAGGTTTAGTCTGGTATGGGACCTACACCCCAGCAGTGGAACGGGCCTGTGAGCTGCTGCTGTGAAATATACTTACCCAATGCCTGGTTTTCAGTGAAAGTAAGAATCATTTTTCAAAAGGTTTATTTTATTTTTTTATTTTTTAATGTGAATTTATTTTCCATGTAAAAAATTTAGTTTTTACATCATTAGGTAGCTCTTTGTCTGCTTGCTGGATATCAGCATTGCAAACCTCACCACTACAGAAGCTGCAGGGCTCAATTCATGACACAATTTTACCACTCATTTCAGAATGTGACACAATGCTCAGAAATACAATATTTAAAGCATGGGTTACACCACTGGATATTTTATGCTTTCTGCTTTGCTTTTTGCTTCACAATTAGAAAGTGCCCTTTGTTTGTGTTTCAACAGAATTACTGTAGCAGGACGTGCTACCAAAAAAGGCAAGAAAAGAGCTTTCCTGCCAGTCAAAGGTTCTCTTTTTTAATTTTCTTGCAATGGCAGATTCACAAAATAGGACTATTTCAGAGGCAGGCAGTCTGGAGTTTGGTTAATCAGGAATGAAAAAAAAAAAATCTACAAGTGATAACTTGCTTTTGTAACAAAGATTACCTCAAGGACAGGAAACATTACGCAGTAAACCTCTCCTTGTTTGCATTTCAGAACAGTTCCTAAAATATTGCTTCTCTGTACTTGAAAATAACCAGTGCATGTCTTCCTCTCCTGCCATCCTCAGCATGGCTCCAACAGATCAGCTTCCCTGGCTTAGATCTGAGCTGCCAGGCATGTTCATCAGTGGTTTGTCCCCCTTTTGTTGCTAGTGTGGAAAGGAAAGGTGGATGAGCTGGGAGAAGCCAGCTCCATCCCACTGTCCCAGCCACCAGCAGAGCCCCCAGAGCAGACTATTTTCTCATCATTGCGTGACTAATACAACCACAGGCACTTGAAGTGCATGGGAATTTTTCCAACCAGTGTTCAGAGCAACCTTTCTTCTGGGGAGGGTCTTATGACATATTTTCTATTTTTTTTCCTTTCAGTAAAGATTTGGCTGGCACCATTGGTGCAGCATGACCGGCCCCAAATCTGGCATCAGAGGTAAATGACTCTTCTTGAATCCTTCATATACTTTGCATTTCCCACCAAACAGGCTACAGTGATGATAGTGACAGTCCATGCATTTCTGCATTTTCTCAGACATGTTCTCTAGTTAAGCTTTGCCAAAAATGGCAGAACTGATCGTTTCAGGGCTGCTGCACAAGAACTCACAAGACAGACAGAAGCCTTGCTAGTCTGTGCAATACATGCCACAGCATAATACCAGCAGCATGTGGTGGCAGCTTATGAGGTTGGAAAGAGCAATTTTAACTGTTACATATGCTGACACTGCATTTTCAGGTTCTCCGCTGGTTAGCCAGGAGCCTGAGCGGGGTTAACCAGCTCCCTGCTGGGACCCTCATTAGGAGCAGCTGAGGCATTGCTGTTTCTTCTGTGCCTCTTTTCACATCTGTTTCTACATTTCTGAGAAGTCTTGCCAAGAACCCCCCAATTTATTTAGCTCTCACATCTGATTTGATTTGAAGCTTCTCAGCCCCTCACTCTTGGGTCTGGCCAGATCACTGGAGCAGAAGTCACAAGATTTCTTGAAAAAAAAAAAAGCAATAAGAAAGCTGATTAGACAAAAAGGCTGAAAATCTTCGAGAATTAATTTTCAGACTGTATGTGATAGCTTCCCAGAATGGCATCCTTCCAACTGCAGTGTCCCTATCACTCCAGTCAGTGATGGGACAGATTAGGCACTGAATTCCTGACAGCTGATACGCTGGAGCATTTATATTTATGAGAAATGTTGCAATTTGGTGGGCTTTGACCATTCCTTTGAACTTTGGAAGTTCATATTGCCTGGCAAGATTGCACCTCAGTGAACAGCTGGGTGCTGTTCAAGATCTACATGACCCCAGCAATGATACCTTTTATTTATAAACATAACCCATGTGTGCTTCAACTACACGAGCTTGATAAAAATCCAATC